TAGGTGGGAATAAAATTCACTGTTCTCCATACAAGGAATCTAAGCCTGTGGCAGTCTGGTATTTGGTCACCAAACCATCTCCCTTCCAGTCCTGGACACACAGGTAGACTACATTTCCTAGCTTCCTTTTCAGTTAGGTGTGGCCACACATGTGCTCGGGCCAGTGCACTATGGGTAGAAATGACATATGCCACCTGCAGGCCTCATCGACACAACCCTCCCAATGTGGTATCCTCCGTGCTGAGGAAGGAGCTAGGGAAGGGCAGAGCCACAACATAGCAGAAACCTGGGTAAGAGCCCCTGGCGAAACTAGGACCACAGGTCAGACCATTTCTTCAGCAAGAAAATTTATGATGTGAAGCCCCTAAAATGTTGCATTGTTGAAAGAGTCAGTTTACCCAAACTCAACGACAACAACATAAGGCAGGAAAAACTATTAATCACAGTTGACCACTAAATTAAATTTTTACTCAGTTTTGTAAAGGCATGCATATTGATAACAAAACAAACACCCTGCTTGGAGCTGGAGTTCATTACTACTTGCACATGGAATGTCTTCCTAGACACAATCTTCAACCTGAGTTGGCACAAATGACTACACTCGGCTCTGCCAGCAACATTGTCGTGAATCGATATTTGCTCATTTGAACACTCTAAATTTATCTATACAAGCAAACCTTCATTAAAATATTATATGCCAAGACAGAGTGAATACATGATTGCAAAACTGAAGACATGATTAGCTGTACCCCTTACATGGTTGGAACAACCCGGTTAGAAATCCATCTGAACAACCTCCTGAAAATATTTTGAATACTTTAAAAATACTTGGAATATTTAATAAAAGTTTTCATCAGCACCTTCTCAAACTAGATGGCAGCAGCAGACAACAGATTAAACACACAGACACACAACACACACAAAACACAACACATACACATCTCTTCTACCATTTGGTAAACATGACACAATTAGAAGGAGAAGTCTTTGAAACAGCATGAAGCACAAATTAACAAAAAAACGAATGAGATGTTGGCGAGGAATTAATTATAAGTATCCAACTCTGTAAGTAAAGGTGGTCTTCCATCACTGCTACATACTCATAAATGGGGGTTTCTTAATACTACGGTCCTATAAGTTCACAGAGTATCCAGCTCTGAGCCACTGGAATCCCCAGTGAAAGGGGGCTGAGAAAATGCTATGACCAAAGGCTGCCTGGGGCTTCAGGCACACAGAACTGGATACACCAAGGAAGGTGGAAAGACAGGACACATCAGCAAGCATTCATGCAAGTGAATACTTGTCCTATGAGCTGTGTTTATCAATTGATGCCTCCAATATTGTAATATTACTTACCACTGGCTGGAGCTTTAATGACCAATATAAGA